GTATTTTATATTGGTGCTGGACTTGCAGTATTTCTACACTAGGCACTGTTTTCCTCATTTACATTTGTTTGTGTATACTATCACACACTTCCCAGGGAAAGTTGGGTCCACCTACAAAACCACCCACTGCAGCTTAGACAGTTTTTGCCCTATTCCCTTGAGTGTTTTTTGAATGCAGTTTGAAGCCTTTTTAAATTAATTTTGCACTAACACAACATCCTGTATTGCTAATGTACAGGACCTTGGTACTTAATTAACATATCAAAATTTTGATATGAATAATGAGATCTTAGGACCCGTCCATCCCGGAAGTTATCTACGCAGGATTGCAACATGACCATAAAACAACCAAAATGAAACATTCACTTTAAAGTCTCTTAAAATTTGCATTGTTATTATATGGCAAGGTTTTTGAGTCTTCAGCCAAGATATCTTGTAAGACCTATCTTCAAATTGTTGCTGAAACATCCAGAAAGATGATGACACCACAATGACCGGGAACGTTCTTGGACTATAAAGGCAAGCTAGTTTATCCTGGTGGGTGTTCTACAAAAGTAAATATGATGTCACCAAATGTTATAGATTTATGAGAACCTGAAAGAAACATCTTCCAGTAATGGTCTTGAATGTCCCAATAAATTATGTCCTCCCTATCCAAATGTTGACCAACGGGGAATAGTTGAGTAAGTTTGTTCCAGTAGTGGAAAAATCTTTCTGAGAATATGAAATTCCGAGCTAGGAAAGGACATAAAGTGGATAAAGATCTTGAGCTACCCGTCATTTCTTTGTATTTTGCTTCCAAGGAGCCAGAATTTCTTGTATTCTTTTAAAAGTGGTCTTATCCAATAAGACCACTGTTTGCTTTCTGAAGCCACTTCAAACTTTGCCTTTGGATGTTGGCTTTTTCACTCACTTACAGTCCAATCCTTGTTTGTTTGTTTAGCCACTAAAGCATAAAAAGGCATCTAAGAAGAAGAAAAACTGTAATTTTCTTTTTTTAAAAAAATCTTTGTTACTATTATCCGAAAACAGATGGATTTCATTATTATGAAGGCAATATTGTCTGACTTTAATCCACCATACAGTGCCATCTGGAAAGGATCTGATGCTTAATTTTTCAGTGTGTCAATGATCTCAAACACAGCAATGCAGAAAAGGAATACCTGGATATAAAGAAACAAACAGTAGAACACCATCAGTCATGGATTGGCCATTCCAGAGACCAGTTTGCAAATTATTGAAGCAGTACTGGAGAACAAAGTAAATTAAAGATGTTTAAGAATTAAGGTGGTCATTCAAAAATATCAACTTTCAAATTATACTACATACTGTATTTCCATGTGTGCTTGCACATGCTTCAGTGAATCACAGGATCCATTTCTCATTTTCCAGCAAAATGTAAATGAGTGATGTAACTGACCTAATAAAAGCTAAAGAAAAAAGGAAAACTTCAAGCTATACAGAAAACTAACGAACTGTATTTTGCAGCTCATGCACTTTAAGAACTCTATAAAGATGACAGACATTTATTTTTCTGGCCTTTCTCTCCCTGTAATAAAAGTAAATGTCTTGAGGGAGTTTTAAGAGCACATTCACACTGTGTGTTTGTTTGTGTGTGTGTGTGTGTGTGTGTCCAAGAATTACTCAAGGTTTCGCAGTGATGTCTAGCCTTTACCTTATCTCCTCCCTGCTGTTTAGAATACTTTTCTGAGTCTGGGTAATTTCCTTTGCATCAGGATAATTTCTCTCTGTTGATTTTAGGGACGTAAAATATGGGCAATTTCATCAAATTGTGCCAATCTGCAGTTGAGACAGAATGCTGTTGGCTGTTGCATCAATCCGTCTGCTGCTGACTGCCTTGGTTTGGAGGCGAGTGGATGTCAGGGTTGTTGTACATTATTTATAGTGGGGTTTGCTGGGTGAACTGCAGCATCAAGAGTCAGCTAAAATGATCCATGGATGCTGTTTAGCAGCTGATTGTGGTGCTTGACTTTCCTGTTAGTGGAATACAAAAAATTAAACTCTCAACGGATACCAAGGAAGTGGTTACATGTGTGAGAGATTATTGTGAAACACACAAAAAAGGCACATCTGAGTCTTTGACAGTGGTACAGTATAAGCCAGGAATCAGAGAAGCTGTAGGCTTTTTTGTTAGCTGTGTAATTTGGGAGTATTTCATGCTTTTGAAAATAGGGTTAGCACACTATCTGCTTTGCTTGAGCGGTGTGTTACTGGAGAATTCCTAAGTGGGCTAGCTGGCTGTAAATTGGGTCACTGCTGAATTAAACACCAGTGCTTTCTGTGCTTCTTCACTGCTGCACCAGAGAAGGCCAGGTTAGAAATAGTCATGACCACAGAGTCTAAATTCACAGTTGAGCCCTGGTGGACAGGGAGAGTGGGACTATGAACACAAGAAGTGGCATTTTAGAAGTTCGCCTCAAACAAACACGCCTTCTGTCATGGAAAGGTTATGCCAAGCGTCACCAAAAGAAGGCTATTTGTGAAGGCGTTTCTGAGTCACAATCATTTTGTGCAGCAGAAATCGACATGGAAGAACATCTGAGAGGCAACGGCTACTTTGTTGCTCTAACAAGGATCTGGAAAAAAGGAAGGCTGAAAGATATGGAGACACTTAATGGGGAGAAAAGCATAAGAAGGCATGAGATGGGCCAGAAAGAGTGTAAGTGGCTGCAGAGTTCCTGCAAGTTTTTTGACAGTTTGAAACAGGCTCGAGTTTTGACCACCACTCAGAAAAAAAGACTGCATATGGTTCTCAAAACAAACTAACAGAGAGTGCAACTGACTGTGCCAGAGTGGAAGAGAGCCAAAAAAGAAACCAAACAAAAACTAGCGGCAGAAGAATGAAGTAGGGAATAAAAAATAGATGCATCTTGATTTAAAATAAGAAATTCATAAACACATACTTCCCTAATCATGAAACTGAGAAATAGCAAAGGGGAATTGTGAGGCAGACTTAAGAGCCAAGAGCAGCACATTTGAATTCAAGCCTTTATAAGGCTGCAGTCCTCTTGTCCCTGAGCTTTCTCAGTACTCCGCAGTGGTCCCCATGGCTCAACCTGCTGTATCCAGTCAGCCACACTCAAGGACAAACACACTTAGAGGGCAAGGGAATTAATATTTGATATAGCTATGCATCATGTGGTGAGACAGTCAGGAATACAGGACTAGCAAGCAAAGACAGGATAGAGCCAATGCCATGAATAACCACTCCCTACTAACTAAAACAAATTTAAACTGCTGGTTGAAACAATGCTTACAGCTAATTTTACTAAGTTGCGCTGGATCAAAGTTTTATTTCATTTTTGAAACGTTCCCACAGAACTTTTTGATGACTGTAGCTGTCCGTTGCTTTTTATGCTATTCTTGTTTGTACAGTAGCATCTAATCTACTGTACAAACAGTAGATTACATGCTAATAATACCAAGTGGTGGGGATAAAAGTGGCAGAAATGGATGCCTCATAAGTAATTGTGCAACCAGGAGGATGCCTTGGGACAGAGGATGGATGGATAAATGGATGGATTCATTGAAAATTCAGAAATCTTGAGCATCCTTAGCAATTTTTTTAACAAATCTTTGCAAAACTAAATATGAAGCTATTTCTTTTGCTAACAATCGATGCTATAGGCTTACCTGGGGATAAATGGTTACAAAACTGTGCCACTTTTTGTGGATAGAAAATTAAATCCTTCAATATTATATCTAGTCAGAATATTACAAAGACCAGGAGTTATCCATATTTTTTCTTCTAGACTTTGTTTTATTGGATGTTATATAAGAAGGCTAGAAATCCAGTACTGTTGAGTGCTTTGGTTATCAGTGCAGCCCCAAAAGGCCTTGGGGTTTTGAAACATAATCGCCATTGTGTGCTTACTAAAGTGCAACACAGACAGACAGCAAGGATTCATCTGAAGGTTTTTAGCAGACTGGAGTGCATGCTGGATTGATTTTACAGCAGCTCGGGAAAGGACTGAAGGCAGTCATCATGCCAAGGATGTATGAACGTGGACGTCAGTGCGGCAAAGCAAACTGGTATTAAACTGCTGCTGATTCACAGGTAGCTGATACTGTTGGGTTAACAGTATCAGAGTAATTATCAAGCAGTGATTTCATTTTTCAAATGGCAGACACAGGACTGTTTTTGACTGTTTTGAGTACAAGTTAAAGTTCTGATGAAGAGTTTGACTGGGGCTGAAGTACTGAAAAAAACGACTGAATGACTATCTCCAGGTCAGCAGAGGAGAACAGTGGTTTGATTTTGGAGATGGTTATCAGCTGAACAAAAACCATCTCCACCAGCTTCAGCTTATTGTCACAGAGATAAGCTCGGAGTCAGAATTTACAGATGGTGGTTTTTGGGCTCTGCTTTATGAATAAGAGTAACGGCAAGACTGAAAACAATCAAAAGTTAAATGTCATGCTAAGACACTGGGGGATGATATTTATATTTCACGGTGGTGCAGATTTATATAAAAAGGAAAACCCTATTCACTTCAATGCACTAAAGAAAAATGCCCCAGGATCCACTTAATCAGGACAAATTAACCTCAGGGTAATAAGCTGGGATTTTTCACTCTGGACCAAAGCATCCTCTCGGTCAAGCGACTGGCTAACCCCCGTCATCCCCAGTGCTGCAACATGTCAAACCCAGGACAAAAAAAACAATGTCACTAAAATTTAATCCGTATAACTTGGAACTATTTAAACTCTCCAGATGCCATCGGGAACAAATGTTGGTTATAAAAGAGATCCGGTGGGATGAAGGTATTATTATGCAGTATTGTAGTTTAGAGCTGTAGCAGGTTGCAGTAATGACCTGTAATTTCACTTTATCTCCTTCCATCCTCTTTAGAAGCAGCAGACAGGCTGCAGTTTATATGCTTCTTTAATCAGATACGTCCTCTTAATATTATTTAACACTGTTTTTGCAATTACAAATAAATGTCCTCATAGCTTTGATGGTGCCGTACTTCCTGCAGATGACGGGAAGCTGTCTCTGGATGAGTTCCAAGCATTCTTCTCAGATGGCACGCTGAATGAAGAGGAGCTGGAGAAGCTATTTCACACCATTGACTCTGATAACACCAGGTCAGCACCATTACTGCACGCCTGTTCGTGTGCGTGTTTGCCTGCAGCATGCACCGTGCATCCATAGCAGCATGAAATAAAAATGAATACAGTAAATTTACATGTGTGTGCGTGTTTTCGTGCTCGCTTGGCCATGTTTTTTGTTTAACTTCCATCAATTATGAAAGTCCATAAGATGCACGCGAGTGCTTTCCTGCTGCACCACATCAGTTCTGCTTTTTCTTATGTGTGCATGCTTAGGTAAGATGTATATAATTTACCCTGCAGTGAGGAAATGTCACATCCACCTCTGAAAGCTCCTTTTATGCAGGCCCTTTTGGACCAGAGCCCTTTGCATTAAATGACACTTTTAAATATAAAAATGCCAAAATAATAAAAGGGAAAGAGAAACAGGAGCAGACATGAAGGGGAAGCAGCATAAAAACAGAGGAAAGTCATTGTTACCTGTTTTTACATCTTTGCCTTTCTATTCATCTCTCTCCTCAAGACATTAACCTCTTTACAGCTACTCCCAAGATGTTTTATTTTGATTCTCATTGAATCAATTTATGACCCTTCATAATCAGCCAGTCAGCTCAGAAGAAGCATGCTGACACAGTGGGATCTGAGTAATCAGAAGTCTAGCTCTGTTAATTTACACAACCTCCCAGTCCTGCAGGCCCTCAAATAAAATGAAACCAGGCAGAACAAAAGCTGACCTTTATCATTTTTGTAGAATTGAATTAGGTTTAATATACAAATCCTCCACCCTGGCTCAGGTTTTTTACATCAGCGCAATAAGTGGTCCAAGCAACAGCCCACCGTCTCTTTGACGTCAGTGACATTGCCACTTGGATATGGGCTCACTTTATCAATCTTACTTGCTGCAGAGAATGCACTCAGAAAATGCTCTACTCATTAGGGTTAAGTAGATTTGGTGGTTGCATGCCAGGCCTTAGCATCATCATGTGACAGCAGATAGGGTTATTGATTGGTCCGAATAAAAGGAGAAACTCTATAAGCATTTCCTGTGTGAAGCAAGATGTTGATGGATGCAAATGAGAGACTGAGCGTTGTTCTGCCTCCAGCTGTTCGTCTTCCTCTGTCACTCTTTTGGTCTCTTCCCATTTCTCTTTATCCTTCTTCACTATCAGGCTGTTTTCTGAGCTTTCTGTCATGCTCTTCAAGCTTTCATCCTTCTATCACTCAACTCATCAACGCTCTCTCTCCTCATCCTCTCCATCTGTCACTCATTCCCCTTCTCCTGCCCTTTCAGGCTTCAAATCTTCCCTGCACAAGTCTCAGTCAGTTTCACATGCTTTTTCCCCGTGAACCGACGAGGCAGAACGAAAACTCCTGTGGTCTTTTTTTAGAACATAATTGCACAAAATGCAGGAAGACACTCACCTGCACATCAGAGTAATTGAGTTATTCAGTTTGTTCAAAAGCACTTGAAGAAATCTGGAGTTACTCTGGTCATTATAACAAAAACATATATTTCTATTTATCTGCCTTTACCCACATGCAGTACAGTTTCATCATCAGATGGTGAGTGCGAGGGTGGACATCCTGCCAATTTTTGGTGCACCAACTGCACATGTGCCCCAAGCCGGGGACTTCAATCACCCTTCAAACAAGTATAACAGTAATAACTACTCGACTATTATGGTCCGGGTCCACAGCAGAGTATAATCAAAGCTTTACTGTTTCAGCCACCACCATGCTGTTTATTTGGTGTTAGATGTTACCAAATTTGGAAAAGAGTAAGTGGAGTCTTAAATTTATCAGCTAAGATTGGATGACTACTTTTAATTAGCGCTAAGTAACAGAATTATAGTGCGTTTTACAAAAATCTTGGATGGTCTCAAACACAAAGCATGCTGTATTAAATTTAGTATTTTTCTTTGTTTTCATTCTATTTTCAGCAATTTATTTCACAAACTAGGAAGTTACTTAGTCACGTATTGGAAACTGGAAGAAGCTCTGCTTGACAAACAGTGTCATGACAAATCCAAATGACCAAAAGCATAATTTTCTGCATGTTAATGTTCAGTTAAAATAAGTACTAACAAGTCTTTTATAGGCAAATATCCCCTAAACATCCCTAAAAGGGAATAGCCAAAGTTGGTGCAGATGTCCTAAAAACCTTTTGATACAGGTTTTAAACTATTAGACCAGAACACCTCTTAATAAAAACTGAACTTGTACAGCTGATGGAGTTAAGCTTTAATATGCACAGCCTCATATCAGCGTGTTTCATTGTCTTCACGTCTTCAGTGGATGTTGTGAAATCTAAAAACAAACTGGCACTTAATAAGGTGGAATCTCAAGTACAGTGAAATTCATTACTAACTCAATAGGCGGCTGCATCACTTGCGGAGAACAACATAATTACTGGTTTACTCTCTCTTTGAAAACACACCCTGCATCTGGAACTAGCATTTGGATAGTAAACAATCTTTCGTTTCGTTTTAACCAGCAAAAATGTTGGAACAACTTTATAACACTCAGTACACAGACATCCCTAAATTCTGTTTAAGCTGCATATGCTGTGCGCAAACATGAAAATGCATTTATTGTTGGTTAAAACCAGATTTTTGGTTGCCATTACTAAAGCCCATCTGTCACAACGAAGGATCAGGATTCATCCTGGCAGAAACACTGTGTGCAAATACTTAATAAAATAAAGCAGAGCCTATTAAATGAGGCTGCTGAACAAGGCTCAACAGAACGTATGCTGTTTGAAATATTCAAATTACATTTTTTTGACTGTTTTTAACACTTCGTTTCTCATTATGTTTGTGGACTTGCTGAGCAGTGATTTATTATCACAATGAAGAGGTGGACAGATGGAGTGTTTCTGCCTATCTCCTCCACTAAGCCACAGTTCATCCGTCATCACTTGCATCTCATCCATCTTTTGGATGGATCGTCCTTCTTCCTTCATTTCCACCTTTCTTCCATCCTTTTTCTGTCCCACCCCACTTCTCTCCTGGTCAGTCAACAGCGAAAGTCTTCTTTGAAGCAGTGAAGAATTCATTGCTAAATGAGTCCCCACGCAGTGAACGGAGCGTGAATGATGGCGGTGGATTGATTCAGACTCCTGCCACAGTCTTGTTAGATCCCTCTCTGCTTGCCAAGCTCTTTTTGTATGTGTGACTGCATGCAAAACAACTTTCCTCTGTTTCTGACCCTGCTCTTCTCCATTCTTTTCCTTTCTTCCTATCTCCCTTTCCTTTCTTTCCTTCTTCTGCTCCTTTGCTATGCTGTGATAGTAATGTTGACACTAAGGAACTCTGCGGTAAGTAGACTGCTGACACACACTCACACACACACACAAGCACGCACTTACTTCCCTGCCACTGCCCTCATTCCCTCTCTTATCCATTATTAAAAATACTTGCCTGTTGAAATGCAAAATATTTTTTTAAATATAGGATATTAAATCAGCTACTTTGGGCTAACCATTGCAAATTATTTTATGACTCTGTGTAAAACAGACTACTTTGCTAAGCACATGGGAGATTATGAGGGAGTTCTGGCTTCTCTGGAAACGCTCAACCTTTCCATCCTCAAAGCCATGGACTTCACCAAACGGGTAAGAGGTGTGTGTGTGTGTGTGTGTGTGTGTGTGTGTGTGTGTGTGTGTGTGTGTGTGTGTGTGTGTCAGTGTCAAAAAGAGAGCTGGATGGTGGGTAGTAACAATATTGCAGTGACAACATGCAAGTTGATCTGAAAGAACTTTTTGAATGAATGTTCAAATGTTTATTCGATGTCACTAAATCACAACAAGAGTACAAAACCACAGTGTTAGTTTTTTTTCTGTGACATGAAGCCCATGAAAGGCTTTAGCCTTGTGGGAAGGTAAATTAAAAAAACAGTGTAAAATTGATAAATAAGTGACAACTATTAATCCTATGCGAACAAATAAAGGAAAAATGCTGTGTAACTGTGAAAAAGGCTCCACTGCTTAATTATTATTATAGTTAAATTATAAGTTAATATAAGATTTTTAAATGAGTTTTACTTACCTCTGGAACAGATCAAGTCTGGATTAAAATAAATTTGTTTCCCAAAATCTCTCGAGTAGGGGTGACGAGTACAAAGTTGATATGACTCGTGCAAACAACAATCACATGGGTCATTAAATGTGTTAAGTGCAGGCTTACAACCCGGCCTCATCTTACAGTATTGCCAAGCAGTGTGTTCTTGCAATTATAGAATTTGAAACCTGAGTGCAGCAGCTGGAGGTTCCTTGGGTTGTGTTGTAGCAGACAATGGCTGACAGATGTCAGAAGATGAACACACAACTCTTCTGTGCCTGAAAAGCTGTCTACACTAATAAGTGCGCTTTTTCCAAGGGTGGAAGCTGTGTGTTTTCACATGACCATTTAAATGTAAGGCAGTGCATATTGAGTATTTATTGATTGAGTGTCGATGTGTGTGTATTTGTTTGTTTAAAGTGTTCTGTATGCCTTATTCTCTGTGTGTGTATGTGTGTGTTGTGAAGTGTGTCAAAATAATGGTATGTCAAGTTCTTCCCGTACAGAGCCACTGGTTTCGCAGTCAACCGGTTTAGATTGTGTGCATCTTTGAGTGTGTGTGTCTGCATGGCAGCTAGAGAACAGTAATGCATTATCCCAGATTCACCCATGCACTATATATAGAAGCTGCTCCAAAGCTCCAGTCTCATCCATGTCCGTGGGTTCTGCTCGTGTGTGTGTGTGTGTGTGCATGCATTAGCATGTGTGTGTGAGAGAGTTTATATCTCTATCCACCAGCAGTCTTTATCTTTCTTTCAGCTGCGGGCCATTCAGCAACCCCGAACACACACAGACACATACACACACACACACGTTTCCCTTCTTCCCACAGGCTAGTTTCTCTCTAATGTGCAGCCATTGTTTAATCAATCAGTGGAGTCTGTCTCATGTTTTATTGCTGTATCGCTTGTGTTCGCTCTTCTTCTCAACCTCAAGTCAACTCTCCTCTCCACTGTACTGCATGCAGACACATACATGTATACACTTTCAGTCTATTCTCTCTCTGATATCATTAGATTGCCTTTAGCGGGTAGTAAAGCTCCAACAGTGCTGTGTAGGGAGTTGACTAGCTCAAGGAGTTGAGTGGCCAAACTGAAGCTCAGACACTGCTGACAACTTAAAAATTGATGGACATGCTGAGTGTGTGTGTGTGTGTGTGCATGTCTTTTTAATGGCAAAGCTACCACATGCTTTGCTGCAGAGAGAGAAATGGAAATTGGAGGCCAATGTTTTGTTGTTTAAAAGCAATGTGGAGGCTGCAGCTGTCACTCAGACGTTCATTTATTTATATATTTTTTGTTGCAGCCCCCTCTGTTTTCTCTGCCTCTCAGTTCACTCTTTGTTTTTCTCAAAATCAGCTCTTTTTTTGTCAAACTAATGTGAGGTTGTGTTAATAATTTTTGTTACAGTGTGAAACAAACAAGCCAACCAGAAGGATTTTTCTAGAACCAGACATGTGGGACGTGCAGTAGAATTAGATTTGCATATTTTTGGACATTGTTCTTTCTTTTAGCTTTTTTTGTCATAATATTTCAGGATAAGGTATATTATGAACACTGTCTTAAGGTGCAGACTGTCAATTTTAATTTGAGGGTTTAGCAACAGTAGTGCACTCACAGGTGAGGAATTGTAGCTATTGTTAAACAGAGTACCCTTTTTTTCATTTGCTCAAATGAAATTGGATAAATTCTCATAGATTTGTCATTCATTTTTTGTGTCAACAATCCTTTAAATTACATTCAATAACTGCTAGAAGTTGTGAATCTACAGACATTATCATGAGAAAAATACTTTCTGAGCCTCATATGGCATAAAATTCAAAGTGTCCAACATCTTTTACAACATCTTACAACGTACGAGGCTTTAGCACTGTGCAATCTAATTTGGCATTCATTTTTTTATGCAATATTTGTGAGACAGGGTTGAAAATATATGTGAAAACTCTTTAACACCCAGAGTTGTAAAAGATTGTCTTTCAGCAACTTTACAGGGAAACCCTTGAACTGGTTTTGTGTTTGGCATTCTCAAACATTCAAAAAAAGGTCAAATGTAATTTTATCCAACTCCTGCACGAGTCTGATCTCACTTCACATCATTTGAGCAACACTTTAAATGCTTCATACCAAGTCAGTTCTGGTTTCAGCAGCAGTTTATCAGGTCCTCAGTAAATGTCTGAGTGCACTGTCTGAGTGCTAGCCCACAAGTAGGGATAAGAGCCTGTAAGTGTGGTAGTGATAGCAGCATACTGTATACAGCGTTTTTCAGCTGAAGCTTGTAAAAAGAGCTCCAGTGATGTTGATTTCTTCATTTCCTCCTGCACTTGTAGTGTAATTCAAACACCCAGCAGACTGTTTTATTTTTAATTTCATTTTAGATAAAAAAAAAGCCAACAGCCACATGAAACCTGGAGTAAGACTATGCGGATGTGAGGAGGAGGAGTGGGCAGGGCTAGAAGACAGAGCGTGATATTACTTTGAGCAGAGGGCTGTAGCCTGAGTCTTGGCCTTTTAGAGCCCACTGAGAATTGATTAGCTCTCAATCTACCTCAATGAATATGGACACAGAGAAAAAAATAGTGCGGAGGTAGGCTTTGTACTTACCCACTGCACTGTACTTTAAAGCACTTGTTTGGCACCTGAAGGCAGTTCGCAGTAAGAATAAAATGGATCTCAGCTGATTATTCAGCTGAAATTTATACTCCGGCAGTATTGGCTCTGCTGTGGTGTAAAAGCCTTCTCAAGTCTTTGCAATGGAGCATAAGATAAGTAATATTAGAGTGGAGGCTAAATCACGTTACAGTGCCCAGTGTATTATCTGTATAATTTTATAGGCCATATTCTTTATGCAAAGATATAAATCACCTGAATATGTGTCCCCTGAGAAAAAGTTTGGTATCGTCAGCTGCAAATGACAGCTGGATAAACTGATACCCCATGTGTATGTGTGTGTGTGTGTGTGTGTGTGTGTGTGTGTGTGTGTGTGTGTGTGTGTGTGTGTGTGTGTGTGTGTGTGTGTGACTCATCCTCCCAGTCTTTCTCCCTTAGGGACAAGCAATAGATTGGTAATTCATGCAGACGTGATATTTTCATTCACTTGTCACATGTAGACTTCATCACTACGATTGTCAGTTAATGGAAACAGTCACTGCTGCCCGTCTTAAGAGACTGCCAAGTTTCTGTGAATGAGCTGATCACAAAGTAATTAGTATTGATTTATAAAATGAAATCACTTCTGACCTCACATCAAATCACCCCAGGTATTAAGGGTAATTTCCCTGCTAATCCACAAAGGAGAAAAGAGCAGTTATTCAAAAGGCATAATTATCAGTAGATGGTGAGATAACTCAAGCAGCTCAAAAGACGATTAAACTGCATGATGTTTTCTGTATGCTAGCTGTTAATGTTTATTCCATACACATTTGAGGGACTTTTTTATGCATTGTAAAAAGCTTAATTTACATATATAATAGTAAGAGAAATATTTGTGCCTGTTTTAGATTAATGGTATGAGCCTTAAGTCCATATTTCCTGTGTTACGAAGGTAGTTCTTGCACCAGGTTTGATCACCACGGTGATTGTGTTTAACACGTGACCTGGTCCGGTGCATGTTATGTTCAGTTTTGGTTTAAAATTGGCCCGATCTGCCATGTTTTCACTGCATATTTTATTTGGTGTCATATACATATTTTTTCTGAAGTAATACATTTTACATGTGCAACTTATTTAGCTCAGCTAAAAAGTTACAGCAGCACAAACGCTGCATGTGTTGAGCTGGTGGTTCTTGATTCTAGTACTGCTAAGTCTCTTTTACACTTGTTTGAATTGCAGCTCATAAATCGATCAGTTACATTTGTAGGCTGTTTATCACCAAGAATATTCAGTCAGTGAAATTTATTTCACATTTATCTGGCAACAACACAGAGTGATTTAGACTATGGAAGTGCCAGAAGAGAACACACTAGCCACCTGTATTGTTTAAGTTATATAATTTAAAGTGGCAAAGGTCAAATGTGCAGAAATAACACTGAGAGCACCAAGAGTGCAGCGAGCAGTAAAAGAAACACAGCTTAAGACAATTAAATTTGGTTTTCCGATCAACTGATCATAAATTCACAACATAAAGAGGCATCTGCACCATTACTCTTGTGACTTTCAGCACCAGTGTTGCATTTGACTGTTAGATTTTTCATAATCTTTATAAATCTCTATCAGCAGTCCCTCTGATAAGGTCTCTGATTAGAGTAGGCGTAGTTCAATTGATCCATTTTGTGCAGAAGAAGAGTCAAATTGCATCAAACGCCTCGTTTTATGTGAGAGTACCCCGAGCTTGAAGCGGAAAAATCCGAGCTAACAAAGAAAGCTGATCATGCCAGGCTTCTCTGAAGGAGCTTTAAGGTTTTGACGAGCCAGCTAACACAAAGAAGTCCTGCTATGTTGAATTTCCTTTGTAGCATGCCTCTCTAGTCTTCGGCATAATATCTCTTACCTGCCTGTGTGACACCAGTTAATGGGACTGTCAGGTTTTTTAATGATCTGTGGTTTCTTTTATAAATCTT